TGCTGTTAATGAAACTAATGTTTCTTGGTTTTCATTGACAATGAAATTTACCTAACAGGAAATTGACTAACAGTGATTTAGGTTCAGTTAACTGAAAGAGTTACAGAGTTACATTGATCTCACAAACGTGGAAATTTCACAAGCTAGGAAGTTTCTAACTGTCTAATTAGGTATATATATATATATATATATCCATGTAGCAAAAAACAGTTACATTGATCTCACAAACGTGGAAATTAACTGCTAAATCTACATGTTCACATCTCACTACCCAATTATTCCCATAACTGATGACTGTGTGGTGAAAGCTTGCACTTCATCATCATCATGAAACTGGAACATGTCCACAAGTTGATCAAAACTAGCAGTGTTCAGGAAATCGAGCATATCTTCATTGTGAACCTGGAACTCTGACGCATTGACTTGAGCACTTTCAGTACCAACTCCAAGTTGAGCACCAGTATGATTTTCTGATGATGACATCCCAAATTCAAGTGCAGACTCAGTGGTGAGTGATTGGGAGGAAAGACCAGATGCAGGCCTCTCTTCATCATCAACTGCAGACTGGTGGATGCTTTGTGATCCCGATGGTGTGGCTGTAGTAACATCATCATCATCAACCTGGATCAAGTGGTGGAGCCAACCATAATCAATCGAGAAGTCGACATTGTCAGGCTGGCTGTTTTCACTACCAAATTGACAGCCTGATTCTTCTGTTGCCGCAGCTCCAATATTGTTGTCGGTGAGGCCTAGTTGAGTAGCATGAGGCTCATCAAATTCAATACATTCCATCCTCTCTTGGTTATACGATCCGAACTCTGCTTGTTCCGTGAATGATTGTGCGCTGTCCACCGAAGGTGAGAAACCTCCCATTAGAAAATCACCATGAAATTGGATGGCATCATCAACCATGGTTATTGGGTATGCAAAAGGGCAGTCTTGCTGAGATTGACTTTGAGTTGGCCCTCCTCCAATAGCCTGAGACATGGGAGTGGAGCTTCCAATTAAATATTCGTCAAAGCTAGTCTCTTGTTGCCTTTGCTTCTTATTTTGAGATTGTAGAGATGGAATGCCATTTGCAGCTGTCGACTTAAACTTTCTCTTCCTCGAGTGGTTCTTTCGAATCCGGCAGACCACAAACTGATGAGTTGAGTTTGGTTTGGGCTTCACCAATGAAGGGCGAAGACTGTACTCGTGCATGATCCAGCAACCGTTTTGATCCGATTTAGGGTTTTCATAATGTAACCTTTTCCACATACCTAAATCGTTCTTCTTATCCTTTGGATCGGGGACCTTTTTTCCCGAGTTCTCAGCTTTCCATGACCCAGATCCTATGGTGCGAGCCATGCGGGTATTCTTGGCACTGGAGCTCTTCAATTTGGTGAAGAAATAAAGGTCTTCACCATCTTCTAATTTGTTTCCGCCGAATTGGTTCCATATATCCCACGGCTCTATTTGACCATAAAGATCAAATTCCGGAATAACATTTTCATACTTGAACGATGAGCCACGAACCTTGTTAGGAAGATAATATCCCAACAATTCTTCATCACTTGGACGAAACTTGAAACCCATAGGAATATTATTAGGCGCCATGGCAACGAATTGATCAAACAAAGAGAAGAGAAAAGAAAAGAAAAAAAGTTTAGGGCTACTGAGATGAGAACGAGTACGAAGTATCGATCAAAGAAAGTGAAGTGTGGAATTCTGACTAGGGGGATGCGCGTATATATAGCGTAGGAAGGGAATGATGCTGAGTTGGCTTTCTTCACGTGGCCCATATGATATCACTAAGCCCAGGTTCTGGTTTGTTACCGTTGCAAATCTTGTTATTTGATTGCGTGATGCTTTGGAACAACTAATACTAAACTGTCGTATTCTTTCAAGGCCTTATCCATTTTTAAATTTAATTATTTATTCCAGCTGTAATCACAGTGGCTTGAGAGTCTTTTATTAGATTTCAGAATAATAATTAATTAAAATATCTTTGAATTAATTAGAGCGCAAGTAAGCAACAATACTTTAGGGTTTCTAAAGTCATTTTCATTTTCTCTATGATTGTGACCTCTTGTTCTTCCGGGCAATGCAAATCTTCTGCTTGGAAGATTGGAATACTATTAACAGGTATTAAGCTCTAATTTTGTTTCATTTCTTTTTCATATGTGTATATTTTTTTCAATTCTCGTAGTGAAAGGAATTTGAACCGGACATTTTGTACCTCTAATCTTCATGAACTTATCTTTAGGCTTTTTTGCCATCTCTTTGTTGAAGTAACTCTATCCTAAAATCTGGTTTTTCCCTTCTTCATCAAAATGTCTGCCATTATTGATGGAAATAGCAAAGGGGCCTTGCACTTGTGGGCATTTTTTAAAATTCATTGTTTTTTCAGTTTAGCAGATTGTTTGCTAATGCTTAAACATATAAAGGTTTTTT